TGGTGTGTGGGGTAGGGGGCTGGGACATGGGAGAGTTTAGGCCCTAAAATTATTGAACTCAATATAGAGTCCGGAGGGCTGCAGGGTCCCCAAATCGGAAAATGAGGTGTTGTTCCTCCAGCTTGCGTTGGGCTTCACTGGAACACTGTAGCAAGCCGGATACAGAGATGTTGGCCAGGGAACAGGGTGGTGCGTTAAAGTGGCAGGGAACAGGTAGTTCAGGGTCCTTTTTTAAAGAAGTTTATAAAATAATGAAAGATGTAGATAGAGTTAATGGCAATTGCCTTTTCCCTAAGATGGGGAATTTCAAGTCTAGGAGGCACATTTTTAAGGTGAGAGGACAAGAGATTTTAAAAAAAAAGACATGTAGGGGGGACAAATTTTTTGTTTTTTTTTTTTTACACAGAGGGTGGTTTGCATGTGGAGTGAACTTCCTGAGGAAGTGGTGGACGTGAGAACAATTACAATGTTTAAAAGATGTTTGGATGAATAATAGGAAAAGTTTGAAGGGAAATGGACCAGGAGCAGGCAGCTGGGGGACCAGTTTAGTTTGGGATTTAGATTGGTTGGCAGGGACTGGTAGGACCGAAGGGTCTGTTTCTGTGCTGTATGTCTGTGTCTCTATGAGTGTTCAGGGTGTGTGCCCATGTTTATATAGCTCTGGAGGTAGAGTATCCATATATGGTTTAGGAAACTGAAATTAGACATGACCTTGATGAACATAAAAAGGAGGAGGAAAGAACTTACACAAGGAATTAGGAGGGCTAAAAGGGTGTCTTAAAAAAACATTAAAGTAGGGGAAGTTCCCAGGGCCTGATGGAATCTATCCCAGGATACGGAGAGATTGCTAGGGCCATGACAGGGACCTGTATCCTCTTCAGTCACAGGCGAGGTCCCAGAAAACTGGAGGACAGCCAACGTTGTTCCTTTGTTTAAGAAGGGCAATACGGATAATCCAGGAAATTATAGGCCAGTGAACCTTACATCAGCGACAGGGAAATTATTGGAGGAAGATTCTTAGGGAAACTAACTCACGTTTGGAAAAGAATGGACTTCTTAGGGATAGTCAGCATGGCTTTGTGCAGGGGAGGTCTTGTCTCCCAATCTTGATCGAGTTGTTTTGAGGAAGGGACGAAAATGATTGATGGTGGTAGGGCAGTGGATGTTGTCTACGTGGACTTCAATGAAGCATTTGACAAGATCCCTCATGATCTAGAAGATTAAAACACATGGGATCCAAGTTGGATTAAAAAAATTGGCTTGGTTATAGAAGACAGAGAGTAGTTGTGGAGCGGTGTTTTGTTTTTGTCTGACTGGAGGTCTGTGACCAGTGGTATTCTGCAAGGACCAGTGCTGGGATCCCTGTCGTTCGTGATATTAACAAATAATTTGGATGAAAATGGAGGTGGTCTGATTAGTAATGTTGCAGATGGCACCAAAATTGGTGGAGCTGTGGATAGTGGGGAAGGTTCTCAAAGGATATAGATCAGTCGGACAGAGAAACGGCAGATGGAGTTTAATCTGGACAAGTGTGAGGTGCTGCATTGTGGGATATCAACGCAAGAAGAAAGTATACAGTGACTGGCAACACCCTTAGGAGCACTGATATACAGAGGGAGCTGGGGGTCAAAGTGCATAGCTCCCTGAAAGTGGCAACACAAGTGGATAAGGTGGTAGAGAAGGCGTACGGCTTGCCTTAATTGGTCGGGGCACTGAGGCTAAAATTTGGCAGGTCATGTTACAGCTGTATAAAACCTCAGTGAGGCCACATTTGGAGTACTGTGTGCAGTTCTGGTCACAACATTACAGGAAGGATGTGGAGGCCTTTGGAGACGGTGCACAAGGGGTTTACCTGGATGCTGCCTGGACTGGGAGAGGCTAGGTAAATTTGGATTTTTTTTTTCTGGAGCGACGGAGGCCGAGGGGCGACCTGATAGAAGTTTACAAAATTACGAGAGGGAGGGGGAGGTTGGAGTGTTTAAGAGACTTTTTCCCCCAGGGTGGAAGAAGTTTATAAAATAATGAAAGATGTAGGTAGAGTTAATGGCAATTGCCTTTTCCCTAAGATGGGGAATTTCAAGTCGAGAAGGCACATTTTTAAGGTGAGAGGACAAGAGATTTTAAAAAAAAGACATGTGGGGGGGCAAATTTTTTTTTTTTTACATAGAAGGTGGTTTGCATGTGGAGTGAACTTCCTGAGGAAGTGGTGGATGTGAGAACAAGTACAATGTTTAAAAAACATTTGGATGAATAATAGGAAAAGTTTGAAGGGATATGGACCAGGAGCAGGCACAAGTTTAAGGTGAGAGGGGGGAAAGTTTAGAGAAGACCAACTTTTCTTTCTAAAAACAGAGGGTGGTAGGTGCCTGGAACACGCTGCCAGGGGAGAGGGGAGAAACAGAAATATTAGCAACATTTTGAGAGACGGGGAATAGATGGATAAGGACCGTGAGCAAGCAGGTGAAATGAGTTAAGAAGACGTGGTGGGCCGAAGGGCCTGTTCCTGTGCTGTTCCGTGTTCAAATTCCTCACAAGTAAGCTCCCTGCTGCGTTCACTGCTCAGGGCTGTACTCAAACTCTCTCCCCTACAGACCCCTACCCTCAAACTTACTCACCCTGGAGGCAGCGAGGACAAAATGTCTGTCAGCAGGCACAGTCTCAGACTTGTTGATGGGTTGCATAACGCCCCACACATTGTAATCTGACAGTGGGTCACACACCACCTCTGAAACAACAAACAGACAGCGTCCAAACACAACAGTAACTTATTATCACTCGTATCTTTACAAAAAATTACTGTGAAAAGTGTTTAAATGCCAGACTTCGGTGTTAGTATTAATAACAAAAATAAATTAATAACAGAGAGTGGGCACAGGATAATGAGTGAGGGAGAGAGAGAGAGAGCAGGGATAGGACAGTGAGGGAGGGAGGGGGGGAGAGAGAGAGAGTGGGGAGAGAGAGAGAGAGAGAGCAGGGATAGGACAGTGAGGGAGGGGGAGAGTGGGAGAGAGAGAGAGAGAGCGGGG